TTTGTTTGTTTTTGTTTTTTTATTCTTGCTGCACATGACAAATCCTCGCTAACTAGAAGTTATCAAGCACACATACTAAAAGTTTGTGTTAGCCCAGAATTCAGATTCTGTGATAAATATTCAGAAACAATTGCACTGTATCGGCACCCACTTAATATAAAACCCGGCATGAGAGAATGGGTCAATATCTGGACTGGAAATTCTGCAAATTCTACAAAAATGAAACTGCAATAAATTGGTATGAACACCACCCAGACCCGGTTACCGAGATAGGACATGTTACAATTTTATGGGAAAAAACAATCAAAGCTAATTACCCAGATATCATGATTAAAGACCGCAAAGAAAAAACCTGCTCCTTATTGACAAGGCATTCTGTGCAAACTGCAATGAATCTTTAAAGATCTACAAAAAAGCGATCAAAATACAAGAACCTTGAACTCGAAATCTCAAAAAATGGTACATGAGAATATTCGACAATTTCAGTTGTAGCTGGATCCCTCGGATTTATTGCAAAATATTCCATTAGAGTCATCATTGGAGGGTTCCTGTTAGCCCAATGCCTAAAAGAAATACAAAACATTGTTGTCACGAGTACAGCCCACACCTTATGAAGGGATTTATGTAAAATATGTGTGATGTTTTTAATTGCTAAGTGGAAAATGTCATGATGTCATTTATGACCTTAAGTCTCTAGTCGGGAACCGGAAAGAAATGAGAATACACCTGAATTCAAAGGAAATAATAATAATAATAATAATAATAATAATAATAATAATAATAATAATAATAATATCGAAGTATAAAGACCTGGAAATTGAAATAGGAAAATGCGGAAATTGAAAACAATAACAATAATAACAGTCATAGGAGGTGCGTTTGGAATGATAACAAATAAACAAATTGAAAAAAATCTCTGGAAATCACAGATTAAGAGAAATGCAAAACATTGTCTTGATAATCACAACCCATAAACTAAGAAGAATTTTGTCTGTGTAACGCTAGTGATCTTATGGGAATTAGATAAATGATGAAATGTAGCCATGACAGCACACCACTACTTGCCTGCAAACTTGGTAGGTAGTCGAACCATAGCGGAAATCGAAATAATAATAATAATAATAATAATAATGATAATGATAATAATAATAATAATAATAATAATAATAATAATAATTATTATTATTATTATTACGCATTGAATATTACCATGATTAAATATGCTTCTCTCTTTTTGACATTCACGAAGCGTTTTATTTAAATCAGTCAATAAGTTTCGTTAATGATTATTTATATATTTTGAGCATTTGGGTGTTTAAGATATTCCTATAAAAACAAATGAGATCGCAGTTCAAATTGAACAAGCCACCAAAATTAAATGGTATAACTAAAGGTAAATGAGAGAGAATAGGATACAGTAAAGGTGGGAGCGGTTTCCTGATTAGAAATGTGTTATTGTAAACATGTTGAAATTTACTAAACAATATCAAAAATCGTTATGCATAATGATTAATGATATAAAAGGAAAAAAACATACATAAATATAATTTAGAAACAACATTGACATAATTATCTGTGATATTGCCAAAAGAGATAGATTTAAAATCTAACAACACGGAAGAATTTCCGTCTGCTAATAAATTACCATTTTCGGTGTATTCTCACACCATAGAACTACCAAATTCTAGTAACAATAAAAGCAAAGCAGTCAGTTTTATGACATAATAGTTTACAATGAAGAAGATATCTTTCTGATATGCGTTTACAAAGACTCGGTGATATTTATACGTTTCTAGATTGTATGTTTTTCAAATTATTTTTCTTGGAAAACGGTATGGTCGATTAGTGTTTATCTAATAAAGCTTAGTAGTGTACACAGTCAATTGTCGAATGGATGATTGTGTTGCTCCAATCGACTATTTAGGAAGACGTAACTATCCAAGTCAACAAAAACGTTTGCATTCATGTTTCTTTACAGAAAAAAAGCAGAACAGACAGATGCACAAATTGAGGGTTTTTCCAACACCAATGCGTTCAAGAACAGAAAAAATTTTACTGGTTGGAAGATCTCAGTTGGGAAACAATTTATCCTTTATATCTCTAAAGATACTTTTTCTGGGTTTTACTTTACTTTAATAATCTTGATATGTATAATACTAGTAATATATATATTATCATAATAATCAATGAATGATATTTCTTTGGTTTGAGGAAAATGAAAGACACAACTTCATGTAACTGCTTAATTACGTCAATCAAGCAAACCAACCAAATAAGCCGTAAATAAGTATTATACTGCGATTGCTGTTTTAGCGTACAAGTATCGGACGTGAATAGACTGGAATATATCAGTCTTTTTTTTTAATATATATCTATCAATGCTTAATTATTCAAAGCCAGTTTATTGTTTCCATGTCCCCGTTATCTGTTAAATTTTCAATTCCTGAAGCAAATATATTTGCAACATTTCATTTATGTCAATGTTTTAAATGTTACTGGTTAAATAGCAAATAAGACAGGACCCTTTAGCGGTCTAGACAGTCTCTGTCAGTCTTGGAAAAGGAAACTTTGAATTCAAAACCGTGGAGAGATTAACGGGAAATCACTCCAGTCTCTTTTTCCTGAAGTCATGGTCATTCGAAAATAATAAAGAAAAGTAATACGTGAACTGTCATGATCGTCTAAGTCATCTCACTCAAGAAGAGACATGAACACGTTTTTGTTTTTATTTTATTTTATTTTATTTTCCAAACTGTCAGAAGCGCATCTCTGACTATTATATCGGGTGCCAATATTCGTCCCAATACACGGCACTAAATTGAGGGAATAAAAGAAAAGAAGAAAATACTTTGAATTTTATAAAAAAATCGAATTAAGAGAAGAAGAGAAAAAGTAACTATCAAAATGTATTCGATTCCAGTAAAATTTACATGGACGTAGAAAACTTACTGTCTGTTTTAATAAGTAAAAGTGACATAAAAATCTGTCAATTCATGGGAATATATAGGTATATTTGTACCCATTCGCCCTGATTTGATTTGAATGACAAAAACCACGGTATTGATTTAGGAGTGTTTGTAGTCAGGAAAAGTTTCTGGAGATCAGAGCTGAAGGTCAAAAAAAAAAAAAAGAAAAAAGAAAAAAACATAAGGGAAGCAAGTTTTTCAGATTTGGTTATTAACTCTAACATTCAATCGATTTTGTTCATCATGGAAGAGAGAACTTGTCTTTCCTATAAACTGTCAAGCGGCTGGTGTGTACCAAACGCCAATGATAATAAAGTACAGTCTAGAACCAATAAATAAAATAACTTTTTTCTTTTATGCACAAGGAAAGGTCGAACCACTTTTGATTGGCCTTCCACTCTTTGACCTCTCGTGTTAACAGAGAAAATAACACAGGCAGCTACGTTTCTTTTGAAGTCAACTTATTGCTGAAATTTTCTATTTACGTGTTTTAGATTTTCAGAGAAAAATGGCTGTGGAACAAGGTTATCATATTTTAGTACAGATAAAATTCTATGGAATTGACCGCCACCAGATGATAGTAGCCTGGTAACGCAATTCTGGACATTTGCAATTGGTGCTACTAATATTTTAACTTCGAAAGAAAAAAGTAGCTTTCTCTGACTATCAAATAATCATAAGTCTTTCTAAATCTACAGATCTCTACATTTTTTCCCAGCCACCAATTACAATCCTTTACAGCTAGCTCCGATTTAGTTTAAGGTTTACGAATTTATCAATGCCTGAATATTGGTGTGGGGTAAGGAGTTTCTCCTCGTTGTCCTCAACGGCTGCATATGTGAAGGTTGATTTTCAAAGCTACATGGCGTGACGTATGTGCTAACATCAAAGAACAAAATAAAGTATAATAATAACGGTGAACGGTAATATTGACATGGGTCATAAAGGCATATGAAAAAAGTAAGAAAAAAGACACAAGTGAAAGACAGACTCTTTGAATAGCTTAAAATTAAAAAAAAAAAACAGGAGATGTTTAATTTTAAACTATTTAAATTTATGATCAGAGGACTGTATTTACTTCTAGTTAAGATTTTAGAGACCCGTCTAGTGTACCACATTTATTTCAGTGACTCTATCACAAGCCATCCTGGAAGACATTAAATGATTTCGTATGTTTTCTACTTGTGCCATTGACATTATTATCTAAATTCAATAATTACAGTGCTACTACAATACAAGCAAAAATAAAAATGTAAATTTTGTAGAAACAAAGATGTGACAAACAATCATATAAGAGTGACTGTAGGAAATTGGCCCATTTTAACTTTCATCGCTGGTGAAAGTGGTCCCCTTGGAAGAATGCCATTGAATATGTTCTTTAGAGAACGATGGTAGAGTTAAAGACCTGAATCTCTCTGGTGGATTGAGACTCATAAGACCCAATATTTCATTACTATACGTATTCCTTGTAAACATGAAAGAAATGTGTTGTGTATTGGATTTTTCTGTTTCGTCAAATCTTAGTTTCATCTTATCTAGAAAAATAAATGTCGAGATATTAATAAATACAACAGATCAAAGTCGAGTTATTTATCCTGATTTTGCCTTTTATTCAAAATTGAAAATCTAAATAAATAGCTTGACTTTGGCAACCAGTTGAAGAAAATATAGCACCGTAATGAAACGAAAAGAATTCTCCCAAACCTAGCAAAAGGAAAAGATGAATAAGTTTTCTTTTTTTAATTCCACCCCATGTATGCCAATAAAGACATCGTTATCTTTTGTCTCCTTAATTCCTGTTATTTTATTATTATTCTAACTCCTTAATTATGTTTTTCTTTTTTATTTAGTTTTTCTAACTCCTTAATTATATGTTTTTTTTCTTTTTCTCGTCCTATTACTGCTAATAATAGTTATTATTATTATTATTATTCATGAAGCACATTCTTTATTCTTTATTATTATTATTATTATTATTATTATTATTATTGTTATTATTACACAGTTACACGCTCTTCTCTGAATTCTTAAAAGGTATTGGAATTGTTACGTCAATAATATTTTTTGTTGCTTCTTCTTCTTCTTCTTCTTCTTCTTCTTCTTCTTCCCCTTCTTCTTCTTCTTCCCCCTCCTTCTTCTGCTTCCCCCTTCTCCTCCTCCACCTTCTTCTTCTTCTTCTTCTTCTTCTTCTTCTTCTGCTTCCCGCTCCTCCTTATTCTTCTTCTTATTATTATTATTATTCTGCTTCCCCCTCCTCATTCTTCTTCTCCTGCTCCCTCTCCTCCTCCTTCTTCTGCTTCCCCTCCTTCTTCTTATTCTTCTTTCTTCTGCTTCCCCCTCCTCCTCCTCCTTATTCTTCTTCTTATTATTATTATTATTCTGCTTCCCCCTCCTCCTTCTTCTTCTCCTACTCCCTCCTCCTCCTCCTTCTTCTTCTTCTGCTTCCCCTCCTTCTTCTTCTTCTTCTGCTTCCCCCTCCTCCTCCTTATTCTTCTTCTTCTTATTATTATTATTCTGCTTCCCCCTCCTTCTTCTTCTTCTTCTTCTCCTGCTCCCTCTCCTCCTTCTTCTTCTTCTGCTTCCCCTCCTTCTTCTTCTTCTTCTGCTTCCCCCTCCTCCTCCTTATTCTTCTTCTTCTACAAATTAGCTTGACCAAAGTAAAACAATACTATTTCTAAAAGATTATACTTTTACTTAACTATATAACATCACCGTGCGCGCCAACTGCGCTATACGGTTTAATATACTTGATATGTTTTATATAAGACTTCAACGTATCGATGTGTTGCCTCACTGACAATCTGATATAAATATTTTCGCAAAACAATCCACATATGAGGAAGTATGTATCGTTATTATAAGGATCTAGTATTTAAATACGACCATTTTCCATAGTAGTAGGAATACCGGCAATTATTGACTTCACAAGCTAAATAATATTTTCCATAGACCTTGAAAGTGTTGGTCAATGATTGTAGCAAATAACAAATCAAGAACTACTACTTTTACTGTTTCTACTTTTAATAATACTACTATTACTATTACTACTGCTACTACTACTACTACTAATAATAATAATAATGTAAATGGAATGTATATGCACAGGGCCTGAAAATATAAACCTCGAAATAATTGAGAAATTTAAATATCTGAGAATATGGAAGATGGAAAATGTCTCACCTAGATTAAAAGGTGCATAGAAATATCGAAAGGTGCCTTCCAAAATCTAAGCAAAGTAATAAGAAACAGAAATATTTAATGTGGAATAAAGAAAAACTGCTGAACTGCTTTGGAATATCAGTCCTACTATGCGCAACTGAATACTAAATCTTTCCTCAAAAACTTAAGAACATTTTTGTAGTAGTAGATTTATAGCAACAGAGACGTGATTCTAATGACGGTTATTGAGAAGAACATGAAGATTTATAATGTCAGCAAAGCGGATGTATTAAAAAAAATGTAAGAAAAAAAGGACCCATACTCAGAATGAGAAAAAAAAATGAAATTTCCTCGATATATAATGAGGAAAGAGGATTTGGAAATTTTACCTTTCACTAAACCTAAAAAAGGCAAGTGAGGCAATGAGTAACCTATCAAGCTTGTGTGAATGTATGGCAGAACAAGCAGTGGGAGAGATAGTAAATACTAAAAAAAAACATTGCAACAGAATAGGATGTTGTCGGGAGCTATGATCTTTCTTGTTTAGTTTATTTTGTTTCACGGCATATCAACATCAATGAGTTATTAAATGTCGAGAAAATTTTTAGGATAGGTTCTTTTGTTTAGAAAAATATCAATTTCCTCATGGGTCATTTTAATGTTGAAATCTAATTTTCTTGGAAGCATTAGTCATTTCTTTTACAAAAATGTATTCCTAGTAATATTCCTTTTTTTTTCAAAAATGTATTGCTACTAATAGTTTCTTTTCATATATATATATATATATATATATATATATTGTCATCCACAGACATACTGTTTTTCTGTATCACAGCTCATCAGTGTGGGAAACGTCCGGTTGACTCTAGCTAGGATCGATATATATATATATATATATATATATATATATATATATATATACTTTCATAGTGTTTTGACAAACATTTTGGGGGTTAATTATTTACCCAAGGTTGGGCCCCCTAACAGGTACTAAGAACCCGGGTCAGGGTAGACCTGGGAACAACAGCAATGAAGAGGTGCCTCCAAGTGCATACCCAGGCCAGATCGAGCTTTTCTAGAGCAATATAGCTCAAAGAAGAAGGTCTCAGCCCTTTTGCAAAAACTTAAAACAATCTAGATTATGAGCGGGGAATTTATGTAAAATATTTCCCAATGTCATGAATGGTATGCAAGTAAAGTGGGCAAGAATATCTCAGAGAAAAGTTATCCAGGAAGATTAATTTGAACTTGTTTGTCATGAATATCCATCATATATACCTTGTGAAATTTTGCTTGTTTGGTTTATTGATTATTGAATGATTTAAAAGCAGGCTACTGTGATCTTGAGACGCATTTTAAATAAGACTCGGCGACATCAAATGTATACTTCTGGTTTGAAGCGCTTTAAGTTAGCCTCTATTTTACATTCTTCTCAATCTATTATTTCAAATAATTATATTTGCAAGGAACATTGTAACCACTTTTTATTGCTCGACTCATAATACGATACAGATACAATTCTATATCACATAGATTTCCTGCGATCAGATAACGCATGATGCTCTTCTCTTTCTCTTTGCGCTTTCATGCTGATATTCCCTGGAACAATGGAATCTTCTATTTGGTACATTATACTTTCATTATTTGAATTAATAAGGTCTGGTCGACAGACCTGAGTATTCAGCTCTGAATGACAATCATCTCATGTAATTTCAAACCAGAAACTGGCGTGTGTATGTATGAGAAATTTTGGAAACACATTGAATATCAAGTCAGGAGCTAACTGATATAAGCAAAGAAACAAGATATAGGTAATAAAGAAACATAATAATAAGAAAGAAATTGTTGTGTATGATACACCTAATTTACATAAGTGGAGTACCGACCATATAAATATGGGTTGGTACCGGAAGACGACGGAAGATTAAGAGATCGAATCCAGAGACTCTGCCCGACTGCGACTTAGTCAACCCATTCTGCAGGAACAGTCTTCCCAAGAATATACCAAAACTACCTGTAAATATTGTGTACCTTTTTTCATTGTTTCAATACATTTTGTTACGTACATTTTCTGTTGTATTATTATTATTCCATGCTTATTCAAGCTTCAACAGAAATGTAGCGTAAACATCCGTGAAAATATAGAAATAATAAACTTTAAAAATGGATCCGATGTAAAAATCTGTTGCGGACCCGGCAGCGTGCAGTGCTGGTTTATTACTAAGTGGCCTTGTGCCAGACACCGCACTAAACTACCGAGTCCACAAGCAATGTAAAAAAAATAAATAAAATGCGTGAATGAACAGTGAGAGGAAAGGGGTCAATCAACAAGTGCATAAATTAATAAACATCAAAGAGATAGCCGGAATAAAATGACAAAGACATCTGTTTGTAAAACATGTGTAACTTTAATTAGATGGAAACAAGTAACTTATCTCGTGGTACGAGATTAATGAAAAATGTCCCGCGCCAAAATAGAAAGCAAGATGGCTAAGGCGGGAAAAAGAGTTTTACAAGGTTCTGAAAAAAGGGAACTCGTTAAACAGGAGGTGTATGTGTGCACAGATAGAAAGGAGTACTCACTGTGGATTTTTTTGGCGTTGTAAGTGTGTGTGGTATTTTTGTGTTCAGGTTCATAGTTAGAAAGAATGTTCGGTCGTCTCAGAGTTTTTGGTGAGGCATTGAATTGGCTGCTGGAAATTTTACAGGATCACTGTGGGCATCTAGCCAGGGGAAACGAAGAATGTTTGAAGCGAGTTTCATGGTCTTGTGGAGTTGTTTACGTCTTCTGGTCGAAAACGGAGAAGGTCTGACCTGCGGATAGCAAGTTGTTCGTCAGTAGGATATCCCTGTCTGTATTTAAAGTTTGATTCACTGACGAGGGATAAGTTCTGCTTGCGAATGTGTCGCGTCTCGAACGATGGGTCTCAAACGTTTTCTGGTCGAAAACGGAGCAACTGGTTGACCTGCGGATAACGTCAAGATGAGAAGAAATCTTGGTAAATAAGTGTGGGGTCAACATCGTTGAGATAAGATATTCCGGCCCGCATATGGGTTAAGGGCACGGAATAAATGAGTTGCCCGTCTAGTCAGGTCGAAAGTCGGAAGGGAACTGGTTTGCAAACGCTGGCCGTTTGAGACGCCGCGAAACGCGCGGGAAAAATTCAAAATCTGTTAGTCTGAGTTCATCAGTAGGAGCTAGCGAAGGTTACTGCTATGTCTAGCTGTGAGAGGAAGGAAAGGGTGCAAACCGCGCGCACACACGCACGAGTGTGAAAGGAAGGGAGGAAACTCGCGCGCGCGTAAAATATAGATGGAATTAATGTGTTAATTCCATAAATCTAAACTCGATTTTAGAAGCAGAATTATGTACAAATGTAACAATTTTGCTTTTAAGCTGATATTCCCTCCTACAATCGCATCTAATATTTAGAACCGTGTACTTTCAATATTTAGATCAATGAGGTATGGCTGGCGGGCCAGGTGGTCCAGATCTGTAGGAAAATCCTCCTATGTCATTTCAAACAAGAAATTTCTTTAGTAAGCATGAGACATGTTTGAAATTCATTAAATGTTGGGACAGATTTTGATAGATTTAACCCTACAAAATGGCTAGAATGGACCCATTATTTTTTTTCAAAACTACTTTTTTACCCTTATAGATATTCCATCCGAATTATTTTTTGTGACTTTTATTTTTTTCTTCATTTTCTATCATCTACATAAATGAAATTTAGAAGAAAAAATTTTTCGTAGGTAGCTTCTCATTCTATTACTAAGTGGGTCCATTGTACCCATGGTTGAGATTTTTAATAAAATAAAATATATCGTCCATTCTAAATAGATGTCATTATGCAAAGACGTATTTATTAGAAGACTTTTCAAATGACTATTTTCTTAGTATATAATGCTTGTAAAAAAATTCTAATAGTATTTACTAAGACATTTGAAAAAGATGCGATACCACAGATTTTATTGCATAATCTTTATTAAACAAACAAACAAACTAGATATAGGTAAACGGCAAACAGAATAAGAAAAAAAAATCAACAGACAAATTCCTTGAAAATATAAATATAGTAACTATCTATATATCTGAAATGAGGTATTATCATTATTTACATTATTTACATTATGCTATTTTCATCTTCATTGCCATATTCACAACGTTTCGGCCGTTGTACGCTCCGGTCTTGTTGACTGGATTTATTTGAGTCTAATCTCTGGGTCTAACCAAAGCCTTTATCCACTGGGCCATGTCTGCTCAAGTACTAGATCCAAAGAGTTGTGAGTTCAATACCAGGCTACAGCAGTGGTTAACCAAAAATCTTGGAGCGTTGAGTTAAAGGGAAATAACTGAGACATCTAGAAGAAGCATGGCCCGTGAAACTAGAACAATCTACCCCGATGGACGAAATAAAGGGTCTGGTTCGATATTCCATTCACCTAAAAAAGGCCGGAGCGTACAACGGCCGAAAAGTTGTGAATATGAAAATGA